CAATAGCCAATGTAAGAGTATATTTCAGGAACAACTAGGAAAACAGTTAGGCAGCCATGTAAGTGATGCCCACCCCGAGGCAGCATGGAATGATATCCGAAAAGCTGTGGAAACAACAGTGATATCTGCTAGTAAGATAAACCATAAGGTTAGAGAGAAACACTGGGTTGCAGCAGCATCTACCGCACTGATAGATGCTCGAAAACTCATTCCATCTGGCTCTGAATATAATGAAGATCGGAGTCAGCTTAAGCTCAGGCTGATAAGAAGCCTAAGTAATGATCACGAACAGTGGTGGGTAGCGAAAGCAAGAGAGATGGGAAAGGCAGAGGCAATAGGCAACAGCAGACAACTGTCCAGACTTGTTAAAGAAATCGGTATTAGGAACCCGACTGTTAGCGAAACTATCTCGGAAAAAGATTGACATACTACTCATCCTCAATCCATGAGATTGGATCGATGGGCAGAACACTTTAGGGGTCAGTTCAACTGACCTCCAGTCACACTTCGATTCCTCAAGATCTCCAGTCAACCTGAATGGCAAGTTGATGTAAGTCTTCCGACCCTTCACAAAGTTGAAAAAGCTATAGGAAATCTGAAGCGAGGGAGAGCAGCAGGCCCTGACAGGTTTACCCCTGAAATTTTTAACGATGGCGGTTCAGGATTAGCACTGAGATTGACTGAGATTTTAGGTAGAATCTAGGGATCCCATCTGACTGGCCTTAATCACTGATTGTGCCAATCTATAAAGAAGGACAAAAGTCCTCTTGTGACAATCACAGATGAATCAGTTTGACTAATATAGTGTCTAAAATATTAGCTTCAATAATACTTCGACGCCTATCTAAAGCTCGTGAAGAGCAGACTAGAGAAAACCAGGTTGTTTTCCGACCTGGACGTGGCTGTATAGACCAGATATTTACACTACGTCAGGTCCTAGACACACAGACACACGTTCAGATGCCCCACAATCGTAGTATTTCTCGACCTTAAGGCGGTGTTTGACTCTGTTGATCGTGAAGTTCTATGGCAGTGTTTGTCACTGAAAGGAGTACCAGAGAAGTACATCAACCTTGTAAAGGCTCTCTACTCGAACACAACTGGTCGAGTGAGAGCTTATGGCGAACTGTCATCAGAATTGATTACCACAAGTGGTGTTCGTTAGGGCTGTCCACTCTCCCCATTCTGGTTTAACTTTATCGTAAACGTGCTTTTAGACATAACACTTTCCTCATCTAAATTTCCAGGGGTTGAACTTCTACCGGGAGATTCACTTGTTGACTTAGAATATGCCGATGACATAGTTCTATTCGATGAAGATGCTGACAAAATGCAGAGTCTTCTGATCACTCTAAGCAACAATGCAAGCATGTTCTGGATGCGATTCTCCCCCTCGAAATGCAAAATGTTGCTTCAGGATTGGGTTGTATCGGCACCTGAACTAATGATAGAGAGTGAAGTAGTTGAGCGTGTCGACCGCTTCACTTATCTTGGGAGTCTCATCAGCCCTTATGGTCTGGTACGTGACGATGTAGATGAAGAATACTTGGTTGGGGTCCGTGTGACTATTGTAACCAATGGTTAGAAACTCTGGGTGACATGGCTCAGAATCAATCACAATGGTGTAATTGTATACACACTCTGTATTCCCTTAAACTATTAAAATTGCTTTGTATCTTTTTTTCTATCAACTAATTCTTTCTTTCTGTACCATATACTTATATGCAAGCTTTCTTTTATCTATTACCACCATTGAATTAACTAATTTATGAATTCGGTGTTCACCTTGTTGTGCTAATGAGATATGGCAGCTTGGAACGATGCACATATTTGCCAGGTCATACGTTGTAGCTGAATGACTGACATACATTAAGATACACAATTTGGTCCCGATTGGAATATGTGAGGCTGATTTGACACAAATCGGAAAGTAAATACTAGCAACAGGAGAAATGTTGTTATAGAGAAAATGTCGCCTCCCAAAGTCCTGTAAGATCTACTGAAAGAGAAAATCACCATGATAATCAACTGGAAGAGGACCTAAGAAGAAGTAACTTCAACATTCCAGGAAGTGCTAGGCACCAAGGAGTATCGAGATAAAGAATGGATCGCTGTAGAAAGCCTGGGCAAGATTCAAGAAAGGAATGACATGACACCAATCAACAACAAAAAGCGGTGACAGCAAATGGATAGACTAAATAAAGAGTAAACAAACGAGTGACGAAGAGCGTTGGTCCTGACAAGGGAGTGTGTGGAAGGCCAGGGAACTACAAGAAAACAAGCTACAACAGAAGGATATATTAAAAAACTACATAATACAACCAAAAAGCTGACAGGGAAATATGGTAGACCAGAGAGACCAGTCAGGAACAAAGAATAATCAGGATCTAGAGAAGAGGAAGAGGTGAGTAGATCACTTTGAAGAGCTTTTGAATATACCAGTGCCACTGAACACACCAGACATCAAAGCATCACATACAGACCTCCCTGTAAATGATACCCCACCAACAACAGAAATCTGAAAGGACATCGGAATAATCAGAATGACAAAGTAACAGGTCCAGATAACATATCAGCCTAAGTACTAAAGTCAGAATACAAGGTCCTCCATATTTTTTAGGAACAACAAATACTAACACATTAGAAAGATGGATACAGCATCAAGTTGCTAGAGTACAAGAACTTCAGAAGGAATGTGCTGTTATCACTATTAGACAAAGTTTTTAACGTAGTGTTGCTGAACCGAAGGAGATTGAGTGGACGCACAACTTTGAGATCAATAGGATGGCTTTCGTACGAATTGACCATATATCGACACAGATCATCGACCAACAATCAACTGAACGAGACTCATCGCTATACATTACTGTTCTTGATCATAAGAAAGCATTTTACAGCGAGAATAAGGAAGCCTTGTGGGAACTTCAATATTATAACGTATCTAAGAAGATCGCCACTATTATGTGAAACTCCTACGGGGACTGAGTTCCAAATTCATTTATGGTGGGCACGTCCAAGATGCATTCATAGTGATTAGTGTTCAACAAGACTATCTACTTTCATCTTTTCTATTTCTGCTAGACGCTGACTAGAGTACAAAAACCTTCATCTTGCAGCTGAAGAACGAAATACAGTGGACACAACTGGGTGTCCTCTAAATGCAAGTTGTTGCTTCAGGACTGGTCTGCATCAACACCTGAACTAAGGATAGGGAGTGAAGTAGTCGAACGCGTTGACAACTTCACTTATCTTGGAAGTCTGATCAGCCCTAATGAGTTGGTGTCGGACGAAATCTCAGCACGGATTCGAAAAGCTCGTTTGGATTTCGCCAACTTACGTCACCTATGGCGAAGGCGAGATATCCATCTATCAATAAAAAAACGAGTATACAGCGCGGCAGTCCGTTCTGTTTTAATTTACGGCAGCGAAACATGGCCATTAAGAGTAGAAGACACCCGTAAGCTACTAGTATTTGACCACAGATGCCTTAGAAATATTGCTGGCGTCTGCTGGGATCACCAGGTAAGTTATAGTGAGGTTAGACGCAGGGTATTAGGGAATGATGGTAAGTCAGTTGATGAGGTTGTGAATCTTCATCGACTGAGATGGTTGGGCCACGTGTTACGTATGCCTGAACACCGATTACCACGACGTGCAGTGCTAACCGGTGTTCGGGATGGTTGGAAGAAAGTTAGGGGCGGTCAAACCAAAACGTGACATCAGCGCTTGAAGTCACTAACTTGTAGTCTGAACCATGTTGGTAGATGCAGACTACTTGTTTGGAGTCCGCGTGACTATCGTAACCAATGGTTGGAGACTCTTGGTGACATGGCTCAGAATCGATCACAATGGCGTCGGTGTATACACTTTCTGTCTTCCCTTAAACTAAGAGATTAAAATCGCTTCATATCTTTCATTCTACGAACTAATTCTTTCTTCATGTACTATATCCTTATATGCAATCTTTTATATATTATTACCATTGACTTAACCACTCCCATGAATCCGGTGTTCATCTTGCTGTGCTAAAGCGGTATGGCAACTTGGACCGATGCATATATGTGCCTGGTCCTACGTTGTAGCTGACTGACTGACAAAACTTATTCGCAATGAATACCATGATATAATGAAAATGGAGTTCTCGGAAAGCGATTGAAATACTTTCCAACTATGACGTTTTGACTTGCAACTTCCCTTCATGATACTCAGATAACAATACCTAGAATTCCTGGAAAATTGACTAAATATTTTATCAAGCCTTTATGTATGTAAACACAGCAAGCTTGTTTCATATCCACGCTTAGGAACAATGAAGTGCCATAAGAGGTTTTGTAGTCCTTATTGATTTTCTTTTACATCTCCGGTTAGTAAGATCAACCAACTTTTTTATACATGATATGTATAATCTTTCACAAAATAATTCTGAAAGCCAAATAAGCCATATTAGGTACTTCACACAACTGGATAGACCATCTGATGTGAATTGCCCTCAGGACCTCTAATTTTAAGGCTATGATGTGTCACTGCAAACGTTTGTAGGGATGGTGTTGTTAAACATGAAAAGCGTTTAGAATAAAGTATTTTCTCACAACTAAGTTAAAGCTCAATGACTTCACACTAACTTTGGATAATCTACTTTCTACCCACTCATCAAATCGATTTTATATCCGTATTTTTACAAAACAACTATACGGTTAGCAGAGTTCTACAGTAATTATTGTTCAGTCAATTTTCTACGGCGCTTTGGAGTGATCATTTGCATGGTTGGTTGTGGACCAGATTAACTTTTAAAAAAATTAGCCTGGTTTATGGCAACACATTGGAGCAACTATGAAAAGACATAGTTTCCATTTTAATAAGTATTAAGATAAATTACTTCTTGTGTCTAACACTAATGCCTCAAGACTTTCGATTAGGTAACTGCTGCCGGGAAGTCAATGCACGAATAAAAAATTTTATGGCAAGCGCCAGATACTAGTCACCAATCATTCAGAACTTACGTTGGGTTGTGTGAGCGACTGATCGCGCTTGGTAAGCTGCGCCGGTTTTGTAAATCCCTGTCTTACTGGAAGGCTTTATAATCACATTGACTGTATCGTCATCACCATCATTCTCTTCGCACTGGTCATCTGCATCAAAGTCGGCAACAGCAGCAGCAATTACTGCATTTCTCTCCTCTTCTATAAACGAGCAACCATCGTTTTCTTGGACCTTTGACGCATCAATGTTTTCTGTCTGTATACCTTCACCATTCGGCAACTTAGGATCTACAGTTGGTGAAGTTGCATTATCGACATTACATTCATCTGCTTTTCAGAACCCACGTAAGTTGGAAAGTAGTGACATACCATTGGGAATCACTTCACTGTCCATCCTTTAGGCAAGGGTGAACTACGCGGCTCCCATTCAGTATTCCAATATGAAAAGTCTGATAATGTCTTCAAATGGTTGTAAAAGGACCTTTAAATCAACTACATCAGTAGAAAAATATGTTCTTCTTATAATTAATTACAGATAGAACATATATCTGTGGTAGTTTTATGAACTAGTGATTCTATTGTACTGGAGGACCCGCTTATTACGAATTCCAAATATCATACGTTCGTTGGTTTTCATCTAGCTCTACTTCCCGTAAATTGCACCATTTTCGGAATTCCTAGTTATTTCAATGATTCGGATACTTTTAATAATCATAGCCATTTTTTAAATATGTTCCATCATTCGACTAGTAGTCACTTCAATTTCATTCCTTGCATTTTATCGTTATCTCACAGGAGATGCTTATTCCTGATGTATCAAAGCTATTTGACATGATAACAATAAAGTCACTATTGAAGATGAGGGGGCTAGCATGAGATCGCCACACATTCTACGATTTGTGGATGTGGTGGCAAACAAATCGAAATGGACAGCTATTATGCATTCTATATTGATGTCAAACATGTTAGTCTTGCTGAACACATCGTTACATGGGGGCAGTTCGTCGACGGTGGAGCTTCCAGTTCTGTCATGTTCGAGCCTTTTTCGTGAGTAGTGTATATTCTCTTTTGTCAACCCACATAAGGCAGATTAGAAAGTTTTACCTTCTAAAGAGTGCCTCTTCGAAAACTTTTAATAATAAAAATAACGTTCGCCAGCTACCTGAATGAAATATTTTAGGTTAGGTCATATTCAAGTTGTGGAATTACCATCCAATCGGATCATCCTAGGTATCTGGAGATGGGCGACCATAAAGCCCAAATGCCTTTAGGTCCAGTAAAATCGTAGTGCATATTGCATTTCCTCTGGCACAAGTATTATTTTACCTCAAGCAATTGAGATTAATAATCACTCAAACAGTATGTTTTGTACACATGAATTTACCTATAGACAATGACACTTTTCAAACCCTAATACTGAATAACTTGCGAGCTGAACTTAATCCTGATTTTGGAGTTCTTACTTGAGTTCCAGTTCGCCAGGCAAATGGGAAAAATGGTTCGATGTTTGTCCAAGAATCTTATTGTTGCAACATAGGGAAAGGGGTGACAAAGTTGTGGAACCCTACACGACCGCAATTGGACATTTTGTATTCCAAAAGAAAACGTTTTACAGTGACGTGAAGTAGTCCGTTCTGGGATGATCAAACACTTAATTTCTATGATGGTCGATAGGACCAACGATAAATACTTGACATGGAAATCAGAAATGTCGAACCATATTATAACGACATCACCTGTACCATCAGTTTTGTTATCGAATCTACTTTATGTAGTCAGTTGGTGTTCGATGCAGGAGTATACCTTCGCAAGAGCATAGTGACAGGGTGCCAGAAAACTTGTTACCAATATATGATCCAGCAGCCTATCAAAATCCTGATAGACTTCTTTAACGAGGTTATTCCCATACGTGACTAAAGGCAACTATGAGTTATTTTATACTCCGATATCAGGAAAATTTTCGATAAAGTGCTTCATAACCTTCTAACCAACAGAGTTCTCTCAGTTGGAATTAGTGGCCCACCTACTGCAATAGATTTAGTCTTTCCTCACGAACAGATACCAACTTACCAAAACTAACCCTACGACAACTACACCGCGATCAATAACCAGTGGTGCATCGATAGAGTCTGTAAAATGTCACCCAGTTAGAATAGTACAATATACCAACGACGCCGACTTAATATGAGTTCCTTCCTTTCCGCTTTTCATCGGTTCACTACTTTGACTTGCATTTTGTTTATCTTACTTACGTACTTACGCCTGTTACTCCCAATAGAGCATAGGCAGCTGACCAGCATTCTCCAACCCACTCTGTCCTGGGCCTTCTTTTCTAGTTCCATCCAATTCTTGTTCATTTTTCTCATGTCTATTTCCATTTCTCGGCGTAATGTGTTCTTCGGTCTTTCTCTTTTCCTTTGGCCTTGAGGATTCCATGTGAGGGCTTGTCTTGTGACGCAGTTGGGTGCTTTCCTCAATGTGTGTCCTATCCACTTCCAACGCTTCTTCCTGATTTCTTCCTCCGTTGGGACAACATATAACACGCTAACTCAGGTTTTTATGCTATGATCTGGTGGTCGCCATTATATGATAAGCAAGTGAGAATTATGATGAAAACATGACAGATGATAAGCATTATAGTTATTAGCATTTCTGAACCCTTCTCTCATTCGATGCGCTTTTCCGCTTCTAACTTTAGCTTTCTCTTCATCATTCAGACCCAATCCACCTTGAGACACACAATTGGTTGCCCTTTGTTTCTGTATTATCATATCCGTAGATCAGCTACGGTTGATTTCAGTAGCAGCAGCCAGTGTGGTGTGCGCTATTTGAGTGGACAGACATACGTAGTATGTAGCAGCGAATGGAAATGGAAAGTTTACCATCAGAAGACTAAACTGAAGAGCAGAGGAAATATAAATAAAACGTCTGACTTCATAATTACGTCCTTACCGAAAATGGGATTCTTTATAATTCATAGTAACATCTACGTAATTCAAACTGCGTCTCCATACAGATGGATTTTATTAATTTGGGAAAGTCACCAATCAATACGTCGTTGCACAAAGTAGAAAGCTGCCCACAATTTTCGCGGGCATAAAAGCTGTAGCGGTAAATAATTCGTCAGGATAAGTAGTCCTACAAGTATTCAACACCAGCCTTGACCTCATTAGTTTTGCTGGACACATCTTAGTTAAAGGCTCGCGGTCAAGCATTTGCACAGAATTACGTCTGAGTACGCTTTGTTGCACACCTCTTATAACGAAGTGCTTGTTTAGATCATGTATTTTTTGACTGATGGATGATTTTCCAAATACACCTCCGAACCTCTTAATTCTTGGATTCTGTTTCGACCTGATTTGGGTTCCTCAAGTTTAAAGAAGTTAAGGACAATAGCGTTGTCAAGTACTGTGAATATGTAACGTCTCCAAAGCCTTAGAATCACTCTCCCACTTCCTGCGCACACACATTGATGGATAACTGATTTGTATTATTCGAACCCAAATTACAGTAAATCTGCAACTCAGTGAACCGGTAAATCAATAAACCTAAAAAAGCGTGAAATGATCGACCAACAAGTAATGAAAGATGACTTAACAATCATTTCATGCTGAATAGCGATTGACAAAACTACATACGATTACTTCTGTTGAGATCACAATGAGAGTAAATCTTATTTTTGCCAGGTGCAAAAAGCACATGTGATTAAGACCTCAATGTCATTGAAACCCTTGAAGACCGTGGTAAAATTATCTGTGAGAAAATGGTTATTCATATGTGGATCGTTTTTCTAAATCAGACCGAATTTTCGGAAAGTCGTTTTTCGTTGGAAATTGATGACGAATGTTGGGGATACCTCATCAAGATACCAAAGAAACGAGATCTGAGCAAATGTGGGAACTTTAGAGGAATCACATTGATGTAAGTAACAGGAAAGGTTTTCAACAAAGTGTTGCAGAACCGAATGAAAAATTCAGTAGTGCTATGTCCTTCGGTCTGTCTAACCACTCTTGGTGCTGAGGATACTTATCTAATTCAGATTAAGACCTTGGTGCGATAGACTGACCGACATAACCTTAAGGCTAGTACGCGTGGGTTCGAAGTGGAGCAGAGAGAAAACTATTCTATCACCTGATTGGATAACAGGCACGCTAATGAGGGAAGACAAGACAACTGGAACACTGCTCGATCTATTCCCGATATCCTGATTTTAGTTCGGATTAGTATAAAAAGACACATGAATAGATAAGTGAATAATCCGACCACAACGTACAATAATTAGGAAAAATACAATTATGTCCAAAGCTGGGAATTAGGGTAGAAATTAGGGTGCAAAATATTATGCTTAAATTACAATAGCTTCGGAACAAAAAGGGTATGGCAATGAATCATACATCGAACGTGAGCTTATGTCCTGTAAAATAGATTGAGGGCAAAAATAAATATCAGTGTTTTACAAGCTTTGAATAAAATGGAATAACGTCCCGAAAAATGGCTTTTGTAGTTTGTCAGGGCTTCTTGTTTTCTTGTTCGCAACAAGTAAACGCCCAATTTCGAGATGAACAGGCTGGATTCCGTTGGGCTCGGTCGCGCACAGACCGAATCGCGGCATAGCGGATCATTTTTAAACAATTAGTGAAATGGAGATATGGAAGTTTGACAGCGTGACCAAGAGAACATTATGGAATATTTTTCGATACTATGGGGTACCTGAAAAGATTGGAAATATCATCCAGAATTCATGTGATGGACCAAACTGCTAATTCGTGAATGAAGGACAGCTGACGGATTCACTTCAAATGAAGGTCAGTGTCAAATAAGGCTTCTAGTGGTTGACCAGGTTATACAAACCTCCAAATCTGAGGGGAAGCACGGGATACAATGGACAGCTTAGATAAAATCAGACAATTTAGATTTTGGAGATGACCTAGCTCCTCTATCATATACACATCAACAAATTAGGGTGAAGATAGCCAATGTGGCAGCAGCCTCTGAAGAAGTGGGTCCCAACATGCACAATGGAAAAAAGCAAGATCCTCAAATAGAACACAGCGAGCACCAACTCAATCACATCTGATGGAGAAACTCTGGAAGATGTGGCAAATTGGGGCCTTATTCCTACAGTTAAATGATATATGGAGGACAAAACAAATTTCAACCAACATCATAGTGAGAATGTTCAATGTGGACGTCCATAAGGTTCTACTGTACGGAGCTGAAACTCGGAGAATTACCACAACCATAATCAAAAAGGTACAAGTATTTGTAAACAGTTGTTTGAGCAAGAAACACAATATCCGTTAACTGGGTACGATCAACAACAACCTACTGTGGAAGAGAACAAACCAGCTTCCAGCACAAGAAGAAAATAAGAAAAGACGTTGAGTGTGGACAGGAGATACGTTATAGAAATCTTCAAACCGTATCACGAAACAAGCGCTAACATGGAGTCGCGAAGTGTGATGGAGAAGAGGCAGACCGAGGAACACATTGTGAGGGGAATCAGAGA